GTAGCACATTTATTTATTTGCATATATAAAACCATCCCTGCATCCATGGTATAAAACCCACTTCATCATAATGTATTATCTTTTTGATATGCTGTTGTATTCAGTTAGCTAATATTCTATTGAGGATTTTTGCTACTATATATCAATAATGACCAAGCTGAAAATCAAATGAAAAACCCAATCCCTTTTATAACTGCTTTAATATAAATACTTAATGAAGGAGGTTAAAGATCTCTATAAGGAAAACTGCAAAACACTGCTGAAAGAAATCATATATGACACAAATGGAAACACACCCCATGCTCACAGATATGAAGAATCAATATTGTGAAAATAACCATACTGCCCCAAGCAATCTACAGATTCAATGCAATTCTCATCAAAATACTATCATCATTCTTCACAGAAGTAGGAAAAACAATCTTAAAATTCATATGGAACAACAACAACAAAAAAGAGCCCACATAGCAAAAGTAATACTTAGCAAAAACAACAAATCTGGAGGCATCACATTTACTGACTTCAAGTTATACTACAAGACTATAGTTACCAAAACAGCATGGTACTGGTATAAAAATAGGCATGTAGACCTATGGAACAGAATAGAGAACCTAGAAATAAAGCCAAACAGTTACACTCAACATGTCTTTAAAAAAGCAAACAAAAACATTATTTTGGGAAAGGACACCCTATCAGTAAATGGTGCTGGGAAAAGTGCCAAGCCACATGTAGAAGAATGAAACTGGATCCCCATGTCTCCCCTTATTTAAAAAATCAACTCAAGATGGAGCAAAGACATATACCTTAGACCTGAAACCATAAGAACTGTAGAAGATAACATCATACAAACTCTTCTAGACACTGGCTTAGGCAAAAATTCATGACTAAGAGCTCAAAAGCAAGCGAAACAAAAATAAAAATAAATAAATGGAATCTATTTAAATGAAAATCTTCTGCACAGTAAAAGAAATAATCAACAAAGTAGACAGACAACCCATAGAATGGGAGAAAATGTTTACAAACTATGCACTCAACAAAGGACTAATATCCAGAATCTACAAGAAACTCAAAAAAACAGCAAGAAAAAAAATCCCATCAAAAAGTGGGCAAAGCACATGAATAGACATTTCTCAAAAGAAGATACACAAACAGCCAGCAAACATGAAAATAAGCTCAACATCATTCATCATCAGGGAACTGCAAATTAAACCCACAATGAGATACCACCTTACTCCTGCAAGAATGGCCATAATTTAAAAGTCCACAAACAATAGATATTGGCATGGATCTGGGGAAAAGGGAACAGTTTAACACTGCTGGTGGGAATGTAAATTAGTACAACCAGTATGGAAAACAGTATGAAGATTCGTTAAAGAAGTAGAACTACCATTTAATCCAACAATCCCACTACTCGGTATCTAACCAAAGGAAAATGAGTTGCTCTATGAAAAAGACACATGCACATGAATGTTTATAGCAGCACAATTAGCAATTACAATGATATGAAACCAACCTAAGTGGCCATCAATGAACGAGTGGACAAAAAAATGTGGTATGTATACAACATGTACTATTACTCAGCCATAAAAATGAATGAAATGATGTTTTTTTATTCTAAGTGAAGTTAACTCAGGAATGGAAAACCAAGTATTTTATGTTGTCACTTATAAGTCAAGCTGAAACTATGAGGATGCAAAGGCATAAGATTGATATAATGGATTTGGGGACCTGGGGGTAAGGATGGGAGGGGAGTGAAGGATAAAAGACTACATATTGGGTACAGTGTACACTGTTTGGGTGACAGGTGTACTAAAATCTCAGAAATCACCACCAAGGAACTTATCCATGTAACAAAAAACCACCTTTACCCCAAAAACTATTGAAATAAAAGTAAAAATTAGATAAAGAGTACAATTAAAAATATGATGTAACAACTATTTATATAGCATTTATATCATATTAGGTATTATAAGTAATCTAGATATGATTTAAAGTATATAGGAGGGTATACACAGGTTATATGCAAACATTATACCATTTTATATAAGGGATTGGTATGTGCAGGGGTCCTGGAACAAATCCCTTGTAAATACAAAAGGACAACTGTATTTGTCTATTTTGATAACAGTATCACATTGTCTTAATTACGGTAGCTTTATTATAAATCTTGAAATCAAATATTATTAGTCCTCCAACCTTTTATTTCAAGGTTGTTTTGCTATTGCATATATATATATATATATATATATATATTTTTTTTTTTTTTTTTTTGCATTTCCCTACGAATTTTAGAAGCAATTAGTTGTTTTTTTTTACATGTTAAAACACTCACTGGAACTTTGGATCTATAGATAAATTTTGGAAGAATTGATATACTTCTCAATTCAAAGCATTGATATACTTTTTGGGAGAACTGATATACTAACATTATTAAATCTTCCAGCCCATGAATATATCTCTCCTTTACTCAGATATTTTATAATATATGTTAGGAATGTTCTGTAATTTTCAGGGTATGACTCATCTCTTTTGTCATATTTAACCCTAACATTTTTTACATTTTTATGGTGTTTAAAATTCTAGTTCAAATTTCTCTTGTTCATTACTAGGAATACAACTGATTTTTGTATATTCACCTGTGTCCTGCAACCTGCTAAACTCGCTTCTTAGTTTTTGTATTTTTTGTTGATTTTAGAAAACCTGTTTTCCATATAGATGATCCTGTTGTGTAAGAATAACAAAAGTTTGCCTTTGCCCTGTCCAATCTAGATGCCTTTTATTACTTTTTCCTTTCCTTATTATTATTATTTTTCTTTGCCCTCATTGCACTGTCTAGAATCTCCAGTACAATACTGCACTAAAGTGATGAGAGTGGGCATATGTACTTGTTTTGTTTGTCTTTTTAAACTTTTAAGTTCAGGGATACAAGTGCAGGTTTGTTACACAGGTAAACTTGTGTCATGGGGGTTTGTTGTACAGATTATTTCATCAGCCAGGTATTAAGCTTATTACTCATTAGTTATAGTTCCTGATCCTCTGCCTCCTCCCACCCTGTACCCTCTGATAGGCCTCAGTGTGTGTTGTTCCCCTCTATGTGTCTTGTTCTTGATCTAAGAGTGAAAAGCATTCAGGCTTTCACCTTTGAGTGTGATAGCTGCAGGTTTTCTGTAGGTGCTCTTCAAATTTTGGAGTTCCCTTCTAAGTTTGATGAAAGTTTTAATTGGGAATCATATGACACAAATCTTTGCTCTAGGAATTTACTCTAGAAAAATGAAAACCTGGGCTCACACAAAAATCTGTATGTAAATGTTTATAGCTGATTCCTCTGTAATTTCCAAAACCTGTAAATATTCCAAATATCCTCCAACAAATGAATGGATCACCAAATTTGTATATCCATGCTGTGGCAGACAGATTCTAAGGTGGCTCCCAGCATCCCAGTGTCCTGGTCATACCTTTCGGTGTAGGTTGTGACTATGGCTTGCTTCTAACCAATAGAATGTGGCAAAGGTGATGAGATATAACTCCCATGATTATGTTAGTTTATACATGACTCGATCTTTCAAGGAGACACTTTCCCCCTTTGTTCCATGAAGAAACAAGCTGCAGTGTTGTGAACTGCCTATGCACAGCACAATGTGGCACAGAATTGAGGGCAGCTGTTATAACAAATTAAGGTATGTCTTAATATTTAACCCTCCTTACATTAACTGCTTATGGTACATTATTCTTTTTAGAAAATTATTTATAATTTTTGTGGGTACATAATAGGTATATGTATTTATGGGGTACATGAAATGCTTTAATATAGGCACACAATGCGTAATAATCACATCATGGTAAATGGGGCATCTATCCCCTCATGCATTTATCCTTTGTTCTACAAACAATCCAATTACACTCTTTCAGTTATTTTAAAATGCAAAACTAAATTATTTTGACTATAGTCATCCTTTTGTGCTATCAAATACTAGATATTAATAATGACACCATGGAGAATGGGGTATCCATTCCCTCAAGCGTGGTGCATTCCTCTTTGAATATGCTGCTCTAGATAATATTTGCTAATATGTGGGGCTTCTCTATTACAATAATGTTGCAAAGTAGGCAGCCAATAATCTGATTGAGAGACGCAAGAAGCAGCAGGAAAATGTGTTCACAGAACCTCATACTAGTGGCGTCCAGGGCCAAGGGTCCCTGAATGCATACCCAAAGGCTGATGAGAGGTGGGGACGAGTGCAGCGGCAGGACCCCTCAACTACCAGAACTAGGTGGGGTCTCTAACAGCCTGTCGGAGCCAGCTCCCCGCTCCCGGTACACCACCAGGTTTCCCTGGTTCCTCCCCTGCTCCCGGTCCGGCCACCTTAGGAAACCTCAGCCCACCAAGTCCGATACGACCCCGCCTCCTTGACTGCTTTAGGCCCCTCTTCGCCGGTGTTTGCCCCACGACGCGCCTGCGCACTAGGGACCACTCGGCCTTGTGGGCGGAGTCCCTGAGAGGACTGGAGCCCCGCTTGTGGCCCCGCCCACTCTAGCCTGGGCCGGCCTTCGTGGACACGCATTTCCGGCGACGCCTCGGCACTGACCTCTGCAGAACCGGGTGGAGCCCATTGACGTCCAGCGAAGCGAAGAGCAGCGATGGACGGTCGGGTGCAGCTGATAAAGGCCCTCCTGGCCTTGCCGATCCGGCCCGCGACGCGTCGCTGGAGGAACCCGATTCCCTTTCCCGAGACGTTTGACGGCGATACCGACCGGCTCCCGGAGTTCATCGTGCAGACGGGCTCCTACATGTTCGTGGACGAGAACACGTTCTCCAGCGATGCCCTGAAGGTGACGTTCCTCATCACCCGCCTCACGGGGCCCGCCCTGCAGTGGGTGATCCCCTACATCAAGAAGGAGAGCCCCCTCCTCAATGATTACCGGGGCTTCCTGGCCGAGATGAAGCGGGTCTTTGGATGGGAGGAGGACGAGGACTTCTAGGCCTGGAGACCCTCGGGCCTGGGGGCGGGTGCTCTGCAGAGGGTCCGCTGTGCCAATGGCCGCCGCCAGGGTCGCCACCGGTGCCCTCCCTCCTCGTCTCCCTCCCCCTCGAGTCGCCGCGATGTCCCCTGCGCTCCTGTCCCCTCCCGTGTAGTGCTTGCCTTTGTTCCAGGAATAGCGCTCCAGGCTCCTGCCGCCGCCCCTGGGCCTCACTTTGGAGCGAGTCGCCGCCGCCCTCTCCTTCCATCCGGCCAGCCCCACCCATGCATATTTGGACGCTGTCCTGCTCTCCAGCTGCAAGCTGGGCTCCTGTTACACACTGGATAGACCACCCACAGCCGCCGCTGCCAACCCCCCTCCTCCCCACGAGACTGCCAGACGACTACATCATTCTGCCCACAGACCTGCGCTGCCACTGCCATCGCCATCCACCGCATCCCAGTGATCTGGACTCACCTCGGAGGTATCTGAGCTGGCCACACCCCCTGGACAGTGATCCAGACCGCTGGCTGCACCCCAAGGGATCTGTCACCTTCAGCGAGACCTACTTCCTCCCCACCCCCAGAGACTTCTTGTGTTCCTGCCTAGGCCCAGGTGTGCCTGGCAGCCAAATCGAGTCTCTGATTTTCTCTTGTGGACCAGTTAGTTTTGTCCATAACCCAGTTTTCTGAGTTTGCAGCTGTCTCTCTGATGTGTGCCTTTTGTTCAAAACAGTAACCCCTGCATTCTGCTCTGCTCTAATACACTACCTGGAGAAAGCCTTTTCCTTATTTTCAATAAATGTCAGACATTATTGAAAAGAAATGGTCTCAATGAATATGACACTTTTCCCTCCCTGGTTCTGTAAATGGGGTCCATATCTTATTAAAAAACTATATTCCCTGCTATGCTATGGCTGATGTTGACACAGAGTCCTGTAGTGTCCTGCAAATGGAGATCCCACCGGTGACCAATCCCAGACGATTCATGTTGTAAACAAGTCAGTTTTGTGCCCCTTAGGAAATGAAACTTAATCTGAATTTGGCCAAAATAAGGTAAGGAATAGTCAGATAGGGTGTTTTTTCTTCCCTTGTTTCCAAAAAACTGAGTGAAAGCATATACTCCAAGTGTTTACAAGCCATACACCTCACACATTTGTTGGTGAGCACCTCTCACAGTTTTATTTAACCCATTATGAAGGAACTAGCAGAATGGCTTAGATACTTAAGAAAAAGCATTTACATTTATATTGCTTTAATTGGGTAGGTAGTAGAGAAAGGAATGCAGAACTGTAATGTTAATTTAGGTACAAACTTGTTTAATGAATGACCTGAAATTAATAGGCAGAAAAAGAAAAAACATTAGTCTTCAACATCTCTGCATGCTAATTTTTGAAATCTGTGCTAACATGTCTCTGCTACCCCATCTATCTGTGGGAAAAGTTCAACATCCCAGCAGAAACAGATTATCATAAGGTGGGCTTGTAGGGCAGCACTCAGTCAACACGCTGCCTTTTTTTTTTTTTTTTTTTTTTTTTGAGATGGAGTCTTGCTCTGTCATCCAGGCTGGAGTCCAGTGGCACAATCTCAGTTCACTGCAACCTCCGCCTCCCAGGTTCAAACGATTTTCCTGCCTCAGCTCCCTGAATAGCTGGGACTACAGGCACGTGCCACCACACTCGGCTAATTTTTGTATTTTTACTAGAGACCGAGTTTCGCCAGGATGGTTTCAATCTCCTGGTCTCATGATCTGCCCACCTCGGCCTCCCAAAGTGCTAGGATTTCAGGCATGAACCACCATGCCCAGCCTCTCTGCCTTATGTCCAATACATGTTATTTTTCCAGAACATACGAATGAGGAATAAATCACAAGAAGTTTTTTATTGTTTGTTTGTTTTTACTTTATTGCTTGTCTGTCTTCATTTAAATAGGTGAAATTTTGCCATTCTTCAGCAGTGGTTCATAGGGCTCTATGTGGAGGTAGGTGGAGGTATATTATTATCGGTTATGTATGTGATAGTATTTGTATTCCCAGAAGTAGTGGAAACATTAATTTGAAATTTGGCATCTAATAGGTCAAAATCTTTTTGAAATCAGAGAGAAAATTCAAATTGCTTAATAAAATAAAGTTTTTATGACTTACAGGGCTCTTAAAACAACTGAAATCAGGCTAATCATGAAGGAACATTGTGTTAAGCATATTCACTGTTTGGTTTTAAACACAGATTCTGCTGAAGTGATTGGCAAAGTGCTTGGAAGCAGTTTACATTACTGAGTAGGTCCAGCATATTCTCTGTGCTCTGTGTCTACTGGCTCTGGAGGTAGGTAGAATGGGTAGGAACCTTCTGGGTATCGTTTGAACAATATCAGTAACCCTCCACCTCCCTCAACGATAATGCCCCAGCAGTTTTCTAACCCCTACAAGAATGAGAATTTTTCCTTGATCTATGCTAGTTTTATAATCTCGACGGCCCTCTTTTGTGCTGCAAATGACTTGGGTAGGGTAATAATTCACAATCATGTACATCTTTACAGGATTCCGTAAAGGGACACAGGATGGCATTTGTAAGAGTAGAAGGGAGTTCTTTTGTATTCCTTTGCAGTCTCACTTTTTCAGTTGTCACTTGTTTTTTTCCCTCACTTCATTCTCTGCAATGTGGTCAATACCCAAGCAAGAGGTCTTACCTCCAAAGGAAAGAGAAATATAAAAAGTGACATTATGGCAAATGAACATCAGAAAGTGAATAGAAATACAATTACCCTCTTTCTTTTAGTGATTGGGACCAGTAATAACTTGAAGCCTATAATTGAGTTAACATTACACACATTTTTTTTTTTTTTTTTTTTTGTGCTCAGATCCACAAAGATTTAATAGGGAAACAAAGTAGCATTGGATGGTTCAGTGCCCCGAGGCCTTGGTTCTCAGGGGAAACCTGGTAGAATATACTAGTGAAAGGTCACTCCCCACTTTCACTAGGAGATAGAGGGTGGGTATGGTCACATCACTGAATGCACTTGTTGCAAGAGAAATAAGAGCAAGTAGGGTAATATTCAGTTATGTGTTCCTCTCTCCCATAGTAAATTGGCACTTTAGGTAAGTTAAAGTGAATGCAGAGCAGCTACTTGTGGATATATTTAACCTTTTATCTGTAGCTACCTGCTTAGGAACAAAAGGCAGCTTCTTACATGACTAAGCTTTCAGCTGTCTCCACTTAAGCCATGTTATAAAAGAAAAGATTCGTATTCAATCTATGCAAATAACTATATTGTCATAAATTAAGAATATTCACAAAATAGTTTCCAAAACTTGGAGAAATTAGGTTGAGAGAAAGGAATTATGTTTTAAATATTGCTCATAACAGTATACTTTATTCAATTGTTAAACGTTGCAAATAGCTTAAAAGAAGAGAAAGTTTTCTTGACTGAAAAACAAAACAAACAGAATCATCAAATGTTTCTAACAAAAAGCCATAAAAGATTATTTCATTCTTCTGTTAGTTCAATCCATGCAATTAACTTCTAATCTACTTGATAGTGGATCACCAATACTCATGAATACGGAGTATGTCAGTTCCCTATGGGAGTCCTGGAAGTTTTTCTCTCTATTCAAATGACACAACCTCTAAAGTTATCAGAAACCTATATTTAAAGTACTCCTTTATATAAACCACTCTATAAAATAATTAAAGCAACAACAACAGATGACAAAATTCATAGAACAACCATGGTTAAAGACAAAATATGACAGGGAAATTTGATTACTTCTGTGGCATACAATAATTTTACATAATAATCATAAGTACTACTGATAACATAATAAGACATATAATCACAGGAATATCATAAAATTTTGGAATACATGTTAATAATACATTTATATTTATTATTATAAAAGAATAGACACCATTTCATATTTGACAATGCTTTTTGTATTATTTTATTATAGAAAGTAAGCTGAATATATCTCTGGAACTTCGCAAGACCTAATATCAAAAAACTAATGAGGTCAAAAGGACTCAATTTAGCATTTAATTCTGGAAAGTTTGTCATATACAAAAAAAGGTTAAGGCAGGACACAGTGGCTCACACCTGTAATCCCAGCACTTTGGGAAGCTGAGGCAGGTGGATCACCTGAAGTCAGGAGTTCAAGACCAGCCTGGCCAACATGGAGAAACCCCATCTCTATTAAAAAAATAATAATAATTAAAAATAAAATAAAAAAGTTAAAACACTTGATATCACAAGATAGGATTACAAGTCATTGTTTCACAAAGTCATTAATTCAGCCAAATTGATAACTCAATAATTTCAAAAAAAAGCAAGACCCTTTATTCTTTGGGAGAGGAGACAATTTTTGAAATAATAGGCCTTTATAAAGACTGCATGAGGCCAATTAAAACTGTCTCTCAAATTTTATAAACAAGTCTATTAAATTTTCATCATCTTGAACATAAGATATAATTTTTATAAACCTTTCTATAAAAGTGGGTTAAAGCTCCAAGAATACCTTGTTAATCTGAGATAGAGGCCTGGATGCTGGCCTTGCATTAGTGTGCCTTTGATATTAATGTTTAATTTATAGAGAAACTCTGAACAAATTTTCTCTCTCAAAAACAGCTCTTACAGTCTCGTGTGCCCACCTCTGCCACAATACTCCTGAGGCCTAGAGGGATTGAATAGTTTTAACTTCTGGCCCTGTGTCTCATGAACGGTTCCTTTTAATTGCCATCTTCTACCAGGTCTGAAGATGAGGCTTTAACTGCTGACAGTGCTTAAGACTTAGCAGGACTGGGCATCCTTTTTAGTCCCAGGAATCAAAGACCTGTAACTTAATAGCATGAGGACTTTAAAAGAAATACAGAAAGTTACATGGATGTAATAACCTTAATTTTTTATCTCCATTTTCCTGAGGAAATCAAAACGTAGCAACAGTGACATAGTAATAATTCTGATAAAACGTAAAAATTGTTTGTTAGACCAGTTACCAAAAGGTAAAACAAACATTTTATTTTAGAGCAAAAAAAATTTACCATACAAGATTCATTTACATAAAATTATTTATTTAGCCTTTCTTACCAAAATGTCTTATTATATCTATAACTTTCTTTACATCTCTCTTATTTACTGGTTCCTTTTACCTTGTTTCAAAAATAAGCAGTAAATGATCTTTAAATTTGGACTAAACTTATTTCCCTTTAAATAAGAACACATTTTTTACAAAAAAGTTTACCTATAATGATTTTTTAAAAAAATAAAAATCCATTTAATGAATATCTATTATTTAACTCAATATAAGTTTACATTCTAAATTATGTGAGAAGTTTATTTGCAAGCATTTATTTCATTACATTTTCCTAATTGTCTTTTTTAATAGCTTAAGTAGATTGCTTATGAAAATTGTGATAGTCATAATTTAAAGTTATACCCCTATTAATCATTTTATTGCATGTAAATTTCAGGTATTCACCTCAGTAAGAATCTTAAGGTTAAGAAAACGGTATTTTCTGCCAATATTCAGGATTTAGCTATTCCCATTAAAGCTAACAATATTCAGTGCCTTATTTATAAAAAATTATACAAAAATAATTGTCGTGTGAGCTGCAAGCTTTACAACCCTCATGTGAAATTTTGACAACTTATAACATCTAACAGTGATAAATATTAAACTACTAGACCAATGAATCCAACAATAATGTTGACAATTCTGAAGAAATTTCTAATTTTATCAATAATTTTAAAACCAACTTATTTATTAAGGATTTACTCAAGTAAACTTAAAAAAGCATTTGGGCTTCTATGTTTCTGGTAAAGTAATTGATTTAAGTG